CCCAGGTTCGATTCCGGTCAAGGGCATGTACCTGGGTTGCAGGCATCCTCCCTGCGGGGCTGGGGGAGGACGCTGCGGCCACCGGAGCGAGCCATCCCTCGGGGACTGACGGCCCCCCTTCTGCTCCGCTCCTCCCCAGGTCCCTTCTGTCGCCGAGAGCCGGCATGGAGACGGTGCAGGAGCTGATTCCTCTGGTCAAGGAGATGATCGCCCAGAAGCCCAGCCGGAGGCTGGTGAAGGTGTACGTGCTGGGCGGCGTGCTGGCCCTGTTCGGCGTGGTGCTGGTCCTGGTGGAGACGGTGTGCAGCGGGAGCGCCAGGCCCTGCAGACACAGGCCCCGCCGGAGAAAGGCAAGCAGCACGAAGCCACCCTCTGCAGCCGGGCCCTCTCCAACCGGCAGCACGCCTCCTAGAAACTGTGGGAGCCCCGCGGAGGGTGGGCGAGAGGAGAAAGAAAGAGAGCGAGCGAGAGAGAGGGAGACGGAGACCGACGCTGATTCCAGCAGGGGGGCGCAGGAGTCCTGAGCTGTGTGGACCTCGGAGAAGCCGCTGCCTGCTAGAACTGAAGGAGCTCACAGAGTTCACCAAAAGGAGTTTGGGGTGGGTTTGCTGCCGTGCAGCACTGCGGAGGGATGGCATGTCCAAAGCCACGTGTCTTTGAGCGGAGTGCACCTGTCATTTTGCACTGGGGCAGAAGGAGGGGAGATGCTTTTTATATTATTATTGTTATTGTTATTATTTTTACAATCACCATTATTTTGCATTTTGAAAATGAAAGCATTTTGTACTATATCTGTGTCTGATTCCTGGGGGGCATGGTTCCCTCGGTGGGCGGGCAGGATAGGGGGTCTCCCTGAGTGAGCCCTGCAGAGCCCAGCGTCCTGCAGGTCAGGCTACCCTCCCTGCCCTGCTGGGAACTCTGGTATTCACGTCCCATGCTTCTCAGTCGGTTGAGGATTTGGTTTTGTCTCACGTTGGCAGTGGGAAGCGAGAAACTTCCCTGAGTCCCACCAGACTTGGCATTTTAAGATCAGAAGATCATCTTCTGAGCTAGGGGACATGAATGGGAGATACTGATCAGTTCTGGGACAGAAAGTGCATTTGTCATTTCTCACCTGAGGCTCCTATGGCTGATACCTCTTTCTTCCTAACCATATGTTAGCAAGGGACAGAGGGAGAGAAGGAAGGAGAAGGGGAGGGGGACGGGGGAAACCAGCCAGCTGGTAGGAAACCAGGGAAGGCAAGCTCCCAAGAACCCCTAATTGGATGTCTAGTTCTACCCAGCCTTCCTCCCTCAAAACGCAAATTGCAGTAAGAGACCCTGAGGTTAGAAGGACAAAAGACCGGTTGTCACAGATCTGAGCCCTCTTCCTCCAGGAACCAAGCTTGCTTTGCAGTAATAACTAATTCCATGTGTCTGTCTATAGGGCTCAGCAAAGGAAATTTTGAACAATGACTCTTAAAGATGTAACGAGGGACATGGGCTTGATGCCACTCTACTTGCGATTTTAATGTGTCTCCTGCCTGAGCCAGGTACAGACATGTCACTCGCCATCAATAGCGATGCGTTTTTGCCAAACATCCCAATGGCTCCTGTCTTTGCTTCTGATCAGACCCTCTCCACCACCACCCCCTCCCACACACTCCTCCATTGTATTTCTGCCAGCTCAAATTCTACCCAGGGTTCCTGGCCCTGATCAAATGTCATCTCTCCCTGAAATGTTTCCTTATCGCACCAAACAAAAGAACAACCAGAACTCGGTGAGAATAATCGAGGGGAAAGAGATATGTTCAAAGGAAGAAAAGAATATCAGTGGCACCCCTGTTCTCTCGGTTTCCAAACTGGGAACCTCATCCCTATATTAAGACATAGCCTGACTTTCAACGTCCAATCTTATTCTCCCAGTTGGTCTACCCAAGTGCCTCTCCTTTTATGTTAATTATTCCTCCTCGCATTTAGCCACCACTGTGTCCAGCTCCCAACAGCCGAAACCACCCCCTAGGACATTTCCCCCAACTGATCCACTGCCAGACCGTTCTTCCTTCATGCAGTGACCCTCACTGATTGAAACTAAACAGGGAAGGAGATTCAGCGCAGAATTTCGGTCCAGAAAAAGCAGTTGCATGCTCACGGAATTGTGAAGGCCTATTCTAGCAGCAGATCATGTGGGAAAAGACATAGGTATCTTCACCAATTACAAGTCCAGTATGAGCCAACAAGAGCTGGTGGCAGGGCTGCCAAAACAAGGCAACACCTTACTGGGGAAAGCAGACTGTCCAGGAAGAGGGAAGAGGAGGTGGTTTTGTTTCCCTTGGCAATCCGCAGAGAAGTTAAGTCCCGCTGCCTGAGCGCTTGGATTTGCAATCTGACTCCCTGCTTGTGAGCTCTAAGGCCTGAAACAAGTAAGTTACTTATAAACTGCCTGCCTCAAGTTACGTAAACTATTTTCGCACCTATAAAATAGTTCCTTCCTCGTGGCATAATTTTGCAAATTAAATGAGTGAAGTGCTTAGAGAGTACTGGCATATACAGTGAACCCTTGAACAATGTTAGAGGCACTGACTTCTGTTACAGGCGAAAATCCACATGTAATTTTTGACTTCCCCAAAACTTAACTACTTTCATTATCCATGGGGGATTGGTTCCAGCTACCCTCCGCGCCTAGTGAATGCCAAAATCTGTGAATGTTCAACCCCCCTATATAAAATAGCATAGATCAATGCATACAGTAGGCCCTCCAAGTCTGTGGACTCCCAACCACGGATTGAAAAATGTATAAGTATTTATTAAAGAAGTTCTCGGCCCTGGACAGGTGGCTAACTTAGTTGGAGCATCATCCCGTACACCAAAAAAGGTTGCGGGTTTGATTCCCAGTCAGGGCACAAACCTAGATTGCAGGTTCCAACCCAGGTTGGGGCACATATAGAAGACAACCGAATGATGTTTCTCTCACAATGGTGTTTCTCTCTCTCTCACTAGACCCGTGCAGTTCAAATCCATATTGTTCAAGGGTTAACTGTAGTAATCTTTCAGCCAATGACAGTTATTGTAATTGTTATTGTTGCTATAATTTAAGACAAAAATGCTTTGATTAGAGTGACTTGGGCAGATAACAGTCCAGAACCCCTCTTACATACAGAAGGATCAAATCACTAGAGAAGAGAATAAGTGACAGTAGTGTCTCTTAGCAATTGCCTTCAAATAGTTGAAGGGCTGCCCTATTGGTCCAATGAAATACAATTAAATGGACTTATTGTATGTGGCTTGAACTAGTACTAGCAAGGAAACAGATCTTAGGTCATTAAGAAATCAGAGCATTTCCAAACAACAGCCTGTCTTGTGATGTATGGTAAGAGCCTCGTTACTAAAAGCACCCAAGCAGAAGTTAGACATCATCTACCAGGGGTGGTATAACATGAAGAGGAAATTCCTGAACTTAGAGGGATGTTCGTCTTATGACCTCTGAGGTCCCATCCAATTATAAGATGCTAGGATTCTGTTTAGAACAACCACCAAATAAGGGTTGCTTCTCTAGAACCCACCACCCCTTCTTCTCTGTTTCCAATGCCTCTTTGCTCTTTTTCTCAGCATGATGACAAAGATTTTCCTTCTGGCTGGATGACTATTAAAAGGAATGAATTTAATCCCCCAAATAAACTATTTCCTGATTAAATTTATCTAACTAATACTCTTGCCTCTTAGAAAATGCCTAAACCTAGTGGCTGAACCTAATGGTTCTCAAACTTTGTCATAATGAAACACTTATTAGTCACCTTGCTCAGTACAAAACTCCACGGAACTCTGATCTATGAACATAAATAAATATTTTATGTTTTATCAGATGCCAATTTGCATTATGTTCTAGTGAAAACAAATAGTAAAAATCAACTGTGAGAATATTAAAAAGTTACCCCATTCCTGGGGAAAGTTTGGTTGCTCTATAATCATTGTACCCAGAATTAGTTTTAAACCCCTTGGCTCAATCAATGACAGCTCACCTCAGTTAAGACACTTTTATAAGCCAATCAATCAGTGATAGCCCTGAGGGTCAGCCAACCAGGAACTAACTCATCCATAAATAAATTTCAGAGTGCCAGCCATCAACAAGTAAATGCTTCCATAGATGATGTCAGCCCACTTAGGTCTCAGGAAGGACACCACTCCCTGAACTCCATGCTTCCCAAAAATCAGCAATGTACTTACTGAGTTCCAGCTAATGTCATTGAGTTCTCACCATTTCTATGATTTTTAACCAAGCAGGTCATTGTATAAAATTCTTAGCCCTTAATCTTTGTATAAAGTAATTGGGAATTTCAGTTTGCAGGTGTGCATTCTGGTTAATTATCCCTAGGTGTTCGTATAAGGTCATTCGATATTTGATGTGGAAAGTAGATCATTGAATGAATAGACATAGTTCTGTATATTAGACCTTTTGTTTTGGCGGTGTACCATTTGACAACTATTTTTTCCATTCAACTGCTTTTTCTTCTGGTGCTCACTTTTCTTTTGCTTTTATTTGTCTATACTAAAAAGTCTCGTTACATGTGCTTTTGTTTTGTTCTGGAATACATTGTTTCTCATAGATGAATAAGGGCGTATTTCATATGGAATGGCCCAATAAGTCACCCATCTAATCCAAACTGGTCCTAAGGTGTAATGGCAGGAGGTCCATTACAGTTTGGGAAAGGGCAATTGGTCAAACTTAGCGTTAGATTCTACAGAACACTCATGTGGGCACTGTCTTATCAATGTGTGGCAGATTACTTTTAGTCTGCATGCCAGGGTCAAAGACTGTCAGGTCATTAACTGCATGGCCCACTCCTAACTTTTGCTTATAAAGGGAACCCAAGATACCATTTGCAGGCACACACTCTCATTAAGTTGCCTCTCTTGGGTTCTCCTGTGTCACAACCCCAACTTCCTCTTGGATAAACTCCTGATTTCCATATAAAGTTGCACTGTAATCCTAACTCTTGTACTTACTTTGATAAAAAGCACTTTATTTAGAATAACAATGGCCATTATGGAGAATGTTTGGCATGTCAAAATCAACAAATTAATTCATTTATAAGGAACCCCAGAATAAATGAATCCATTTAAGAGGAACCCCAGAAATCTAAAAAGTCAAGTTTGCTTCTTTAACTAGTATGCTGAGGTTTAAAAAACAAAATTTGAACTCCAGCATGGTCTTTTCAAAGATTCTGAAACCAATCCTAATTTAATTTCTCTCTCTTTCCACTCATCTTTACCTGACCTTTGATGTGAGCCACTCATTTGTCAGAGTTTTACTTTGGGGGGGGGGTGTAATCACAATATAAAATTGCAAAATCAGAAGGCAGCTCTAAAGAAGTTGAATGAACCATTCTTTGGTTTTTGTTTGTTTGTTTGTTTTGTTGTTGCTGATGTTTTTAGTTCAAATAAACAGAATTTTTTTAAAAAAGAAATTAAATTTAAACCTTGGTCTAGATAGAGCCATATTAAGAGTTATAAATAAGGATTTTCCTAATCCGCAGGAAGCCAGGGAGAAATCTGTTACATAACTCAAGATTTTATTAGATAATTATTGTTCTGAACTACAGATCAGTACAACAAGTTCACTTGTTAGTCCTTCAACTGGAGAAAAAAAATTGTTCAAAACCAGAAGGGTAAGAAAGAAAACATTGTAATAACTCATCTGTGACAAACGAAAAAAAGTGTCTTCAGAGAGCAAGAAAAAAGTTAAAATACAGTACAAAAGACAATTCCAGAAGCCTTTTTTAAAAGATTCAAAATTATAAACTAAATAAAAATAAAAACAGGTTTCAAGAAATTTTAAAGGAGTATTCTGGAGTGGAACAATCGTTGAAGTTAAGGAGGCTTTTCTTTTTCATTATTTCTTTGCTTCGTTTTTTTTTTTTTTCCTTTTTCTTCTTATGGGCTCAAATATGAATAAAAGGATTTAATGAGAAAAAAATTAATTGAAATCCAAAATGAACTGTTTAGAAAATATTCAATATGTGGGTGGACATTTTCAGAGAGCCCCAGAAAGGAAATGAGCTAAAAATCTCCAGATAAGACAACTGGCTTCTGAAAGGAAAACAAGACTAGCAGGTCTTCTATCTCTGAGAATTGGGAGTCTATAGGTAAATACTTGTAGATAGTACAGTAGGTCCTTGGGTTCCGTCAGAGATCTGTTCCTACGGTGCGACATAATGCGATTTTCGCCCTAAGTCAGAACCCACCTACATAAGCACCTACGTCACTCACATGGAGCACATACAAGG